CTCTTGGTGAGCCAGCCATGTAACGTCCAAAACAGACGCAAAGTTCAGAGTTCAACTTGTTTAGTACAACTCAACACATGTCAACACAACTTAGCAGACGAGAACTTCCTACCTGGCTAATTTACTACACTACAACTACAGCGGGAGGGGGGAGGGGGGGGGGGGGGGGTAACGGACGTTGACGTCTATTTTTGTTTTTTCTGAGTATGAGAGAACTTGAAGCACAACGGTGTTGAGAAAACACTTCACTTCGTGACAAAATCTTCACCAAATTATTAAATTAATAATTTGATAATAATCGCTAAAAGACGTTCCTTGGTACAGAGCGATGGAGAAAAAAAATAGTTTGAACATTGCTGAAAATATTCTGAAACTTATGGTGACTTTTCAAACTTTGGGTAGCTTATGTCAAACTTTGGGTAACTTATGTTAAACTTTGGGTAACTTATGTTAAACTTTGGGTAACTTATGTTAAACTTTGGGTAACTTATGTTAAACAAAAGGATTTATGTTAAAGCTACAGAAAATATTTTAAAACAGGCAATAACGTAAAGATGTGTTACAAAAGATTCTCCATACCTTGCTAGACTTAAACCCTGCTAGTCGCCACCAACAACCAGCTCTGGTGACGTGTGCTAAAAACCTAGAGGTCACTGCCTCTTGTAGTACTGACCACAGCTAGAGTTTGATGAACCTATTGAACCAACGTTCAATAGACCGAACCAGACTGACCTAGCACATGTAAGGAGCTGATTAGACTGAATCAGTGTAGCTTGTTGACATGTGTAGCGTGGCACTGGGTCGGCTAGGCTAGCAAGAGACAACACCCAATCATTTATACCCCCTCCCCCACCCACTTCCTATAAATATTTCCAAGACATGCCACATGTCGTAGATTGTTACGTCATACAAGTGGCGATAAGAGCCAGTGGACACAGCCCCCCCCCCCCCCCCGAAGATAGTTTACCACACCCCCCCCCCCCGAACGAAATGGAATTTATATATAAAATAAATACTTTTGACAGAGTCCGCCCACCCCGAAAATTTCAAGTGCACCCCCGGAGAAAAAAGTCTTGAAGAAACACTGTATCCAAGAAACATGATAGATGGGTGAACAATTGTTATCGGTCGTATTTTCTTGTTTTGTAAGCAATGCACATAACAGGGGAGTTTGTGACACCCATGTGAAGGGCAGAGGTGGGGGTGGGGGTGTTAGACACGACAAAGGCCTGAAAAGCAGAAATCTTCCAGCAGCCCGTCTAACCCCACCTAGTTCTGTGTTCAGCAAACCTGCAGTTTTCTTATCTGACCAACCTTTGTACATCTGTCTGTTTGTTTGTGGTTTAAAAGCTTATCTTCAGAACAAAATGGACGCCTGAAAGTTTTTTCTACTTGAGTCTACACGCTGTCCTTTCTATAAACAGCGCATCAAAGTTCATCAGCTAATTGGATGGTTTTAGTGACCTGCACTGTGGACAGACACCAGATAATTGGCTATGTGCTGCGTCTAGACTGATATTTTAGAGAATGTTTTAACCTTTCAACAGGTTCCATTATGAACATTTCTGGTGCCATTTGTCGCCAAAATGTTAACCGTTGCCGCAGTTGAGAATACCAGTAGGATAACTGCAGGTCCCTGAACGAGTAAAATGATTTGTCACGAAAGCTGTGATCAAATAATGGTAGTGTGATGCGGGTTTGTGTCACATTGTCAGTCAGATAGGATCATGTCATTCTGTCAGCCAGTCACATAGAACCCACCCAGGGAACTGCCATGTATGTAAGGAGGGAACAAACAGTCATGTATGTAAGGAGGGAACAAGCAGTCATGTATGTAAGGAGGGAACAAGCAGTCATGTATGTAAGGAGGGAACAAACAGTCATGTATGTAAGGAGGGAACAAGCAGTCATGTATGTAAGGAGGGAACAAGCAGTCATGTATGTAAGGAGGGAACAAGCAGTCATGTATGTAAGGAGGGAACAAACAGTCATGTATGTAAGGAGGGAACAAACAGTCATGTATGTAAGGAGGGAACAAACTGTCATGTATGTAAGGAGGGAACAAGCAGTCATGTATGTAAGGAGGGAACAAACAGTCATGTATGTAAGGAGGGAACAAACAGTCATGCATGTAAGGAGGGAACAAGCAGTCATGTATGTAAGGAGGGAACAAACAGTCATGTATGTAAGGAGGGAACAAACAGTCATGTATGTAAGGAGGGAACTAGCAGTCATGTATGTAAGGAAGGAACAAACAGTCATGTATGTAAGGAGGGAACAAGCAGTCACGTATGTAAGGAGGGAACAAACAGTCGTTTATGTAAGGAGGGAACAAACAGTCATGTATGTAAGGAGGGAACAAACAGTCATGTCTTTAATATAGTGTAGTAGAGCAGTGTCAAAATGTAGCAGTTTGCGTAATGTAATGTTTGAGATATGATTCACCACTAATGCAATTCACTTTGCCTCCGTGTTATCTAATAGCAGCGACTTCTGTTGTGAAGACAGGCGTATGTCAATACAGTTCTTATACTGTATGCAGACGCTGATATATGTTAGTTAGTCTGACACTGTCGGCCTAACCACTTTCTCCTCAGTGCCCTTGGATCAACCTGAAACACGAGCACACCCCATCAGGATAAACTGATCTGAGCAAACATAGGATCCGTCTTGAATTGTTCAGATGACGTCTTGAATTGGTTAGATATCACAGACATCCCCTAGTCAACAGACCGAGTTCAAATCTGCGCTGTCCAATCTAGTTCATGACCTATTTCACCTTCCTAAATTTCGACCTTTACATAGCAAATGACACATTGCTTTAATTTAGACTATTTAAAGCCTGGTTATGTAAGTGTTGTTTTTAAATGACTTGAGGATAACCAAAAGTACGAGACATAATTTTTCTATCAACAGCAAGGCCTGGAAGTTTAAAACAGAAAGCCATTCTTTAGCTGTCACGTGTACAACAGTACCACGCGTGTAAGCAGCTCCAGGATGGCATTGGTTCAAAATCTCAACCGTTTTTTTTTTTCTGCACACCAACAAAGACAAACATTTATCTTCCGGCGTTTAGTATAACCTACACGAATATAAATCAACAGAAGCATACAAACACACTCGCACACATCAACACACATCAACATACATGTACACATCAACACACTCACACACATCAACACACATGTACACATCAACACACTCGCACACATCAACACACTCGTACACATCAACACACATCAACACACATGCACACATCAACACACATCAACACACTCGCATACATCAACACACATCAACACACATGCACACATCAACACACATCAACACACTCGCACACATCAACACACTCGTACACATCAACACACATCAACACACTCGCACACATCAACACACATCAACACACATCAACACACGTGCACACATCAACACACATCAACACACTCGCACACATCAACACACATCAACACACATGTACACATCAACACACATCAACACACATCAACACACGTGCACACATCAACACACATCAACACACTCGCACATTTCAACACACTCGCACACATCAACACACATCAACACACATCAACACACGTGCACACATCAACACACATCAACACACTCGCACACATCAACACACATCAACACACATGTACACATCAACACACATCAACACACATCAACACACGTGCACACATCAACACACATCAACACACGTGCACACATCAACACACATGTACACATCAACACACTCGCACACATAAACACACTCACACACATCAACACACATGCACACATCAACACACATGCACACATCAACACACATGCACGCATCAACACACATGCACACATCAACACACATGCACACATCAACACACTCGCACACATAAACACACTCACACACATCAACACACATGCACACATCAACACACATGCACACATCAACACACATGCACGCATCAACACACATGCACACATCAACACACATGCACACATCAACACACATGCACACATCAACACACATGCACACATCAACACACATGCACGCATCAACACACATGCACACATCAACACACATGCACACATCAACACACATGCACACATCAACACACATGCACGCATCAACACACTCGCACACATAAACACACTCGCACACATCAACACAAATGCACGCATCAACACACTCGTACATACCAACACACATACAATAACAAACGAACCCTCAAACCTTCGACTGCCGACAATTTTCTAAGTGACATAAACTCGTCAGGTACTAGGCGAGATTTAAACATATTTTTTCTATGAACAAGACCTTAGTATAACGCCATGTAACACCAATACAAACAACGCCATATCGTGGACAAAACCAAATCTATCATCGGTTAAAAAACATCAAGTACAGACTGAGGCTAAATCTCTCAAGATGGGTTTATTTTAAAGTATTTGAGAGGATAAGTGTCTTTGTCTTGGTGAAATACATTCATGTTATTCAGTGGTGAATCAGTGTAATTTTAATACCATCAAGAAATGGACCATCAGCTCATTAAGGGGGCAGTATCACCCAGACTAGGGGAGGGAAACAAAAACTATCACCAAAAAAAACTATTTGACATACACATGTCAAATTTTTACAGCAATAGTAACGTTTCTTCTGCTATAATACAGTATATAAATTGTAGGGTATATGTATGGCAATAAATTGTCAAAAAATTATTTTGTTAATATTTTATCACATTTTTAATTTTTGGTAAACATTTTTTCGAAACCATAAGTAAAGTACTTAAAATTTGGTATAAACCTTCCTTGCGTCATTGGGAACGTCCGGGACTAAGATAATATTATTCTATTGAGAGATAATTTTTTTAGGAAATTTCAAAGTTCAATTATTTTGGGTCTGACTTTGAAAAATTCTAAAATTTTCAAAATCAGTCACAATGGATATCTCCTAGCCCCGGACATAGGCAACCCTGTTATGCATCTCCTAGAGTATTTTCGGAAGG